TCCTCTCACATATTCACACTCCTCTTTTTGGCTGTAGTTGTGCAGTTGGTTCCCTCCCTCCCTCCCTTCTCAAACACGTTATCCCAGAGGCCCTACCACCATCTCTGATGGGCTCAGCCTTGGCCAGCGGTGGGTCCATCTGGGAGCCGGCTGGCATTGGCTCTGTCGGACACGGGGGCGGCTTCCAGCAGCTTCTTGCAGAAACCACCCCTGTAGCCCCCATGGCTACCAAACCTGGCCATGCAAACCAAATACACTATACTAAAACTTTCTTCCTGGCAAAGCTGAAGGCAGGATAGAGATTATTGCCCAGGTGTTTGTTAATTTTCCCTGATTTGCTTCAGATGAATAATTAATTGTTACATCTTCATCTGCCATCTTAAATTTCAGATTTCTCAATGTCATTTTTATACTTACTCTGTAACATACTATTTATTTAGTTCCTTATATTCCAGGAAAAATACACAAACTGTGTTTCAACGTGATGCTTAATAAAATCTCCTTTCACCTGGCAATCCAAGCAACAATGAGATTCTACATTTAGTTAACTACATGAGAGCCATTTGTTAGTGGTATTTCTTCAGAATATCTTGGTATTTCATGTCATAATTTTCAAAAATGTTTGGCTTAAAACCTATATGTTTTTGTGTTGTTGAAGTGATCTGTTTCATGTTACAAGTTAGAAAAAGCTGTCCATAGTCTTCACTAGAAAAACATATTTCTAAATCAGTCAGTGCTGCCTAGGAATTGTGATTATGAAAGCCATAGGGGGCTCATCGTAAGTATTATTTTAATTTTGCCTCATGAGATGTATCAGTATATACTAGATACTTTTTAATAGCTTTGCAGTCATCTAGAATTTAGGAATTGTATCTACTTCCACTGAGAAGAACCAGTACATTATGTATTTCAAAGCAGTAAAATATTTGACACTGAATAACACATTCCATAAATAGCTATTCTAAGTCTCTTTCCTGAAATAAATCCTTGCTGAGGAGGATTTGCAGTTGTACTCTCCAGTAGAGTGAACTGCTGACATGAATGTTTCTTACCTTAAGCAAAGCTTGTTTCTCTCTTTGTCTGTCTTCGGGCCTGATAAAAGGAAAATAGCTACAGTTTTTCATTTAAGTCTAGTTAGACATGTTGTTTAGTATTACATATGTATAATATATATGTGATATCATTGGCAAAAACATGCCATATTAGAAAATAATCACATTCTTTTAAAATTACAACTTTTTTCAGTGGTAGTCAGAATTCATTAGATGAACAGGTTATGGATGTATTATCAGTGGCCTATTGTGTCTTTTATTCTCAAGTTACATGGAGAACAACGTGAAAATACTTGGAGTGCAAATAACTTTTGGATTTATTGCTTATTACTTAAGCCCTTCCACCTACTCCTTATAGTTTGAGACAGTTGACTTGAAATAGTTGTGTGTGTGGCTAAGCTGTAAGGCTGCAAATTTTCTGGCATGTTTTCTCTTGCTTTTTATGGCAAGGGGAGGAGGGGTGAATCCTTTTACAAAACTACCTAAATATCTGTGTAATACCTTGCAGCTGCAAGTCCTCAGATGGACTTAATTCCTCACTAATTTTTCACATTATCAGTTCTATGATAATCATGAGAGAAAGTGAAATGAATGAAAGAAGATATGGGCTAGAAAGCACTGGGCTAAAATCAGAGGGAGCAGCTAAGAGAGAATGAGGTACAAAAGCTGACAAACAGGTGATAGAAAGGAAGATGATACTGAGAGATCGAGCTTTGACCTGTAATTAGAGGAGAAAAAAAATAAACCAAGTAATGAAAAATAATTGCAAAGAAAGAAGTAATTACTGAAAATGGAAGGAAATAAAAATCCCTCTTTGTCTCTTTAGTAGGCTCAGAAGAATTACATTCCTTTTAAAATACCTTTTTGGTAGAATAAACCTTGAGATGTTAAGGTTTGTTTTATTTGAATACTCATGCGTAAAAGTTTATTGTTCATTTTTAGAAGGCAAGTACAAAGGCTATTTCAGCACAGCCAATACAAATGCACTTCTTTTTAAGTTAATGACTGTAATACTGTATTTTCCTAAAAAAAAAAAAAATCACAAATGTAATAATTTTTTCTTAAAAACTATGATTTCTTGAAGATAAGTACTCCTGGAGGAAATGAGAAATTCTCAAAAATTTTAATGCATTAGTATGGGTATGTTTGCCAATAGACTGGAGGCAGGTGGCTTTGGAAATTTTCCATTTATGAAAAGAAGAAAAAATAAATATCGCAAACATAATAAAATGTGCATAATTCTTGCATCTTCTCCTCAGACTGGAATGGGACACCTGCGTGTTACAAAAGAAGGCCTCCGCTTGGAAGGGGAATCAGAATTCCTATTCCCTCTTTATGCCAAAGAAATCCATTCTCGAGTGGTAAGCAGATAATCTTTCAATAATGGTAAAATAAACTTAATGCCCTTATGAACAGCTGAATTCAGATAAAATCCAGACATTTGTCATGGAAATATATTTACCTCTGTGTGTGTTTGTGTACGTACATGTAAACGTACATAGTTTCACATACATTCCAATCGTGATCGTTAGGTCAGTGTTCTGATTCTCTGCAGAATTAACATTTTTCTCTTAGGCTTGTGCTAAGAAGTACCTAAAAAAAAAATTATAAAGGTCATTGCATATAAGTAATGCTAAAATTTTAAGAGTGTGTACAATTTTTTTCATTATTTTTACCAAGATTATTTTTAAAGCAGCCTTCTCTGTGAAACTGTTTGTTTTGCTTATTCGTCCATTACAGAATAGTTTCAATATTTCTAAAGTTACTGGATCCTATTAGAAAAGTTAGAATTTCTCTAATAAATTCAGTTATTGTCACTTCTAGAATGTAAATTGTATCATATCTTTATATTTTTATATATATAAAATCTGTAAGACTAAATAGAAAGAATTTAACTTGTTTACATAGACATTAAAATTTGATTTTATTATTATTGAGGTAAAAAGGAATAATATACTTGATCAGAGAAGATACTTATCAAGCAGATTAACTAAAATGGCACTGAGAATGGGTATGGTATGAAAGATACCTATTGTAGTGCTGGTTTTAGAGGAAGGGAGAATCTGAATTGTTGTTTAATGATCCAGGTAAACTCCAAAACTTATTCCAGTGAATTTTTTGTAGAGTGATATCAATAGAATGAATGTTTTTTTCAGAACTATCAACTCTAATCCAAACTTTCACAAAATAAAACCATGTTTTGTGAACACTGTCATCAACCAATGGGACATTTAATTGAATAAAGTTGTATTCCATGAGAATAAAATCTGAATATGGCTCTGTCATTACTTCAGACATGTAATTATCCTCAGGTCATTAGAAGAAATAGCCAGCTATGAGACTTTACTGAAACTGGGGGAAAAGTTAGTGTTTGTATTACTATAGCAAGAGAAAATGTAAATAAATTTATCAGAAAATATGATTGATCTAGGATTTAGAATGTGGCTGCTAAAATGCTCAGATACTGAAATTTAAGCAATGCCAACATATTTTATGTCTATTAAGCCTTTCTTTTTCTCTCTTTCTGCAACAGTTGTTTCTAGTAGCAGGAAGGTCTTACTTAGACGATGAAATTCCATTGCTAAATCTGTATTTCCATTTTGTTTCCTATGCTGTATTCTTTTCCACCTCATTGGCAGTGAGAAAACTGTTTATGTCCTTAAATGAATTTCCCTTGAAGTTACTTACCCAATAAGACGTGTAGCTTTTTAAGATCAGCATAGCTAATACTTAAGAACTCCTTCTTTCCCAAAAAATCATTATGCGGTGTTAAGCTACCATTCGTGCTCTCTTAATATTCCTTCCAGCTCTTAATACATTTAGTACAATATAGGAAGAAGGAGGTGTGGTAGCATCTAATATAAGCTTAGCTGTCTAATGACCCATTGTGATCATTAGTAGCATGCATTAATTAGAGCCTTCAGGCTACTGCATGTCTCTGCCCCCTATGAACTGATAATTCATCAGAGGTTTTCTGTTTCTTTGCTTGCTTTTTAAAATGTTTGAACTCTCTTGAGGCTTAATTGCCTGTAGCTTGATCTCCTGAGTGCCATCTATATATTTATTCTCATAAAGTTGCTTATTTGTTATGATTTCTTTTTCTGAGTTTGTCTGTTAGAGAATTGGGCTGCTTACAGCTATCATAGCAGCTTCTCCCTTGCCTTAATAGTTTTCTCCTTGCAGTCTCCTAACAGCTTTTCTCACCTAATGAGGTCTCCAAAGTGCTAAGAAAATATGTAGCAGGAAATCTACTTGCTGTGCATCATCTCTGGAGCCTATTACAAGTTTATGCCTTCATTATGAGTCCAACACAGGGTTGTGGGCAACACCCACATCTTAGCTAATACATATTCATGGAAATATAAATTATGAGCATTTATAAATACATTACTAGATTTTAATTAGTCAACAACACACATGTGGAAACTGCAGGTCTAGAATACAGTTTATTCGCACTTATGTTTGATATTACAAATTACTAACTTTTTTATATCAAGCAGCATCAATCAAATAAGTGTCATAAAGATGCCCTGGGTCATTTAGCATGTATTTAAATGTAATATATTTGTCTGATGTTTGCTGACCTTTCTTTTCTACTTCATGCTAACTTGTTCCCACTAATGTTCATTATAAAACACTGCTGACTTTTTTTCCAACTTCATTATTTGTGTTAATTCTGTTAGCTTTCACTTTTTCCTGATATAATATACAAAATTTTACTGACTTACTGACTTCTTTTGAGGATAGTCTATCATCTTTCTACATGTAAGATACACTTTTTTTTAAAAAAACAAAGTACAATTGGACTCAACTACATATTGCTTCTACCACTGTTACTAGATGAGTGTTTGTAGTAAAATTCCTCATGTAAAATGTGTTCAAAATACTCATGTTATCTCGTACTCTAAGCATTAAATCACGATAGCAGTAATTTTCAGGGGTTAGTCCATCAAGGTGATGCATAGTCTCTCTTGAATACAGAAGAAGTACCAGAAGCCATATATTATGAGAGAGACTGATATTTAACAATATTCCAGTAGTTAGAAACTCAGTTGTCTAGGAACGTGTATCCCCTCTGAGGTCACAAGCAGGCAGCTTGACCTGCTTCAAAGGTATTGAAAAATACCTTTTTCATATCACATTTTCCCTGATATTTGGCAACTGAGATCTGCTTAGGTACTTTCACCCGTTACTAGGTTCCTGTACTGCAGATAAAAGCATGTTACAGTATGAAAGCATCTGTACTGCAAAAAACTTCTTCCTCTCTTTTTATGTCTGACAGTGCAGCTACGATTTGCTGATCCAAATGAGTGTGATCAGACTTGTGCCCAGATAAAATTCTGATACTTAAAATCAAGTAAAGACAGTGGACAGTATGATCACCCTGAAAATCATCAGCGTTTAAAGACTACTCAGGTAGTAAATTGAAGAAAAAGAGTAGAATAACCCACTCAATATCTACCTCACAAAGTTTTAGGACACTTCCAAATGATCTTGTTGGCGCTGTTTCACATCGTCGTTAGTGACATGGATGATGGCATTGAGTGCACCCTCAGCAAGTTTGCTGATGACACCAAGCTGTGTGGCGCGGTCGACACGCTGGAGGGAAGGGATGCCATCCAGAGGGACCTGGACAGGCTGGAGAGGTGGGCCACTGCCAACCTCATGGAGTTCAACAAGGCCAAGTGCAAGGTCCTGCACCTGGGTTGGGGCAATCCCAAGCACAAGTACAGGCTGGGTGGAGAGTGGATTGAGACAGGCTGAGAGAGTTGGGCTTGTTCAGCCTGGAGAAGAGAAGGCTCCGGGGAGACCTTATTGCGCCTTCCAGTACCTGAAGGGGCTACAAGGAAGCTGGGGAGGACTTTTTACAAGGGTCTGTAGTGACAGGACAAGGGGTAACGGGTTTAAATTGAAAGTGGGGAGGTTTAGATTGGATATCAGGAAGAAGTTCTTCCCAGAGAGGGTGGGGAGGCACTGGGACAGGTTGCCCAGAGAAGCTGTGGATGCCCCATCCCTGGAAGTGCTCAAGGCCAGGCTGGATGAGGCTTTGAGCAACCTGGTCTAGTGGAAGATGTCCCTGCCCATGGCAGGGGCGTTGGAACTGGATGGTCTTTAAGGTCCCTTCCAACCCCAACTATTCTATGATTCCATGATTCTCTGATCACTCTGCAAATGTCCCAGCTGTGAGGAGGGTCAAGTCAAATATGAGTGCCATCGCTTTGTGACCTTCAGATGGGATTTGGTATACTGGGACACTGGATGTGGAAGAGCACTGGGTGTACTAGGCTCAAATCATGGTGCAGGGATGTGGAGCAGCAGGTGATGCTGTTCAGTCTGCTGATATACTTCTCTCGTCCTTCTCAGTGGCAGACAGGGAGATGATTTAATTTAGACTGACACTCTTATCTATGCTGTCATCTGTTAAAGTCACCTTTGAGCTAGTCACCCTTCCACTTTCTCCGTCACACACTGTCTGAGTTTCTTTGCCAGGAGATTCAGTGGCAGGTGCCAAAATCAAGCCAAAACATACAGGCTGCATGGAACATTGAGGAAGCAGAATGCAAATGCATGTTTCTCACCAAGTTGATATGACATTATAAATTCACAAAGTGGGGTACGCGCACTTCAGTTAAGTGGTTGTCTTCTAGGAGTCTAAATTTTATATTGAAATGTGGTACTAGTATTAGTACTTCTAGGATTTTTTCTTTCCAAATGGTAAAAGGTGAGCAACTCTTTTCTTTGGGACAGTAACACAGGTTTTGTTCACCTGAAGTATTGTCTACAATGTTTTTCATATTTTACATCGGATCTAGTTAAAGCAATCCAAAATATCTGCCTACATTATTTAATGACATCTGTGGATGGTTTTGTAGCTGCAGAGCACTTTCAGTGACTGAGTTAATGTAAACGCCAGACTAAATTTTGAAAATTGCTAACCATCCTAATTATTTTACTGAATCTACCTTTTTTTTTTCTCAATGCTTCAGGACTCATCGCTGCTTCTTCAGTCTACTCACAATGTGACTGTGAATGCTCGCAATTCAAATGGGGAAGTCACAGGCAGATTAAATGTGGGTAAGTCTAAATTATTTTCCTTGTACACCATTTTGGAAACATTGTAATGAATATTTGCAAGACGTTTAGATGATATAAAGCACTAAACACGTGATTATTTTTACTGTTATGGTCATATTTGAATAGTCCAGCTGCCACTCACTTAGTACCAACAGTGTATTTTTGGTTTCTCATTTAAGCATTAATTCTCCAAATATTTCGGAGTTATGCAAGAAAGATCAATGCAGAACTTACTCTTTTTGTTGTGTAAATATCTACTGAGAGTTGCAAATAATTTTTATAAGAAAGTACATCGGGAGAACATGACTAGAGATGTCTGTATGTCTCTCCATTTCTTAGTATTCCAGAGACTACTACATTTAAGCAGATGTTCTAAAGAAAAAAAAAAAAAACCCAAGAAAAACACCAAGCCAGTTCACAACTCAGAAATGTACATGTTTTACTATATTTGGTAGCAGCAAGATACATTGGTTTCTTGAGTGAAATCAATAGATCTAGACAGATGTAGGTGATAGATCTTGGCAGAAGGAATAAGCAGACCTTACTCTTTAAATCGTATTTTTACGGCAAGAATGGCAACAATATGTGTCAGATACAACAGAATTTTTCTTAGGTTTGCTACTATTTTTCAACCTTTATTTGACTTTGGAGAAAAATGTAACAATTTATTAACTTGTTTCTTCTAAAGTCCTCATAGTCCTCAGAGCATAAATTCCTACTTACTTAGAGTTGTAAGACTATCCTGATGTGCTTAAGTAGTTTACTAGATTGAGATCTGCATGAGCATTGAAAATCAGCTCTTCCATGCTGATTAGATTGTGTAACTTCTGCAACAATTCCTGTTTGAAGAATTAGCATATCAGTTCATAGAACATTTAGCAAACTTGACTGTTTTCAAACAAACTTCAAATAAAAAATACAATGTATAACATAGAAAGGAGCGTGCTATTCCCCTTAAAAGTGTGTAAATATACAGTTAAGCACAATTTGGCCTTTAAATGTTTTCAGTCTCTTTTTTTTTTTTTTTATTAAAGGTATTTATACAGATCTGAATTATTCCTCTTAAAATGCGCCTAAATATCTATCAAAAGGTGGTAGTAGCATTCATATCACATTTTGGTAATAATTAAGAGTATGAAATGTACAGTACTTCTAGGTTTATATTATCAGTACAGATAATATTAGTTATTAGCTTACAGTTAATATTAACCTTAAACTATAAGTCCATTAGTTTGCAATAATTAACTATACAGTGACCACATGACCAAAAAGGAACACATCACATGGTCAAAATTTCTGTGACATGGCACATACGCCGTTGATTCTGTCTGCTATGTACTGTTTGTGGATGCTGTCGTAGTTTAATCCCAGACAGCGACTAAGCACCACACAGACAATTAATCATTCCCCCCACGTCAAGATGGGGGAGAGAAGAATTAAAAGTGAGGAGTGAGTGAGAAAACTCGTGGGTTTAACAGGTAAAGCAAAAGCTGCACACACAAGCAAAGCAAAACAAGGAATTTATTCCCCACTTCCCATGCACCGGCAGGTGTTCAGCCATCCCCAGGAAAGCAGGGCTCCCTCAAATGTAACAGTTACTTGGCAAGACAAGTGCCATCACTCGGAACCTATCCCTTTCCTTCTTCTTCCCCCAGCTTTACATGCTGAGCGTTATGTCATGTGGTCTGGAATATGTCTTTGGTCAGTTGGGGTTAGCTGTCCCGACTGTGTCCCCTCCCAGCTTCTTGTGCAGCCCCAGCCCCTTCCCTGGCAGGGTGGTGTGAGGAGCAGAAAAGGCCTTGGCTCCGTGTTCGTTACTGCTGAGCAGTGCTTAAACATCCCTGTGTTATCAACACTTTCCAGCACAAATCCAGAACTTAGTCCCATGCCAGCTACTATGGAGAAAATTAACTGTATCCCAGCCAAAGCCAGCACAGATGCCCGTCATGGGACCAGATGTGTGTATTTGCACTGTGGTCATGTGCCCATCCTTCCTGATAAGTAGCTGTCAGGAGGTCCTTTGGGAAGGACAGACCAGAGAGCAGATCATTGACCACTACACTGATTTGTCCAACCTGATCCCTGGCACAATCTTGAGAAACTTACAGGTAAAATCAGGCCTTGCTCTACAACAAATACTTGTGTGAAAGGGTGAAATAATTATTTGAGTCTGGGATAATCAAAACTACATCAAATATGCATTTGCATATTATTTGAAATATTTGATGTTTAAGTAGTCTCCTTTTGACTGGCAATTCTGTTTCTTGATGTCATTAATAATTGGTCTTACTGCTGTCTGGTACAGTTGGTACCATTGTAAACACTAACATGAAATATTACTAATATTAAATCATACTAATTTTAGACTGATAGAAAAGTGTTGAAAGAGCAGTAAAAAATTGATACTGTAAAGAACACTGTTAATAACTAAAAACATGGTCAAACAACAGTGATTGGGCTAAGTGACAGCCTGTTAAAGCAAATGACCCTCTATACATAGTTTGATATTTTTAGGCATTGCCCTTGTGCAGTCATAAAATGTACGCATGTAAGATGATGTTCCCTTTTAAGAAGTGTGAAAAATTGGTGTGCAGCTGATATACTTCATATACACAAGCCTCTCCTAAGAGTCAATGCCTTCCACAGTTGGCCAGCATGCAGGAATTATGTCTTAATTCTCTTCACCTTATGAGTAGTTGCCATTGTGAAGGAGCTGTACAGATAAATTTGGGATCGTTCCAAAGATGACAATATAATACAGTGTCACTCATAAGATCATAACAAAAATACCTTATAACTCACAGAAGATTGTGGTTCAAATGATCCATTAAAATTTTTAATAAGTTCCTAAGAGTGATTTAAATACCCAGTCTTCAATTGAAGTAATTCACAAGAGAGATGTGAGACAAGTCTTTACTTGAGGAGTTTCTATGAAATTCCTTACATGAGGATAACAGGCACATATTATGCAAGAATGAAAAAGGTTTCCCCTCATGAATCACACATACAGTAAAATGACATCAAATGCAAGCAACTTGCACCATGAGCACTCTTGGTTTAAAGTTTCTACATACTTCTCAGTTTACCCGCATGACACACCTCTTTCGGGAATTACCTGGATGCTGTAGCTCTTTACACATTCTCTAGATCTTGTGTTTTGGACTGTGTTCCACAGTTATGCTGCTTTCAGAAGCCTCACTGAATGCAAATACATTTAACTGCTTGCCATGAAAAGAATACTTTCAAAATAATAGGGATCATAACTAAAAAAACAAACCAGTTCTGTGCTTTACTCTTTTTTTGACTTCAGTATCCCTCTGGGTGACAAAGATATGCATTTTGTTTGAGTTACAGTTTAAAATCATGTAAAACTCATATATGACCAAAGAAAACCTTGTGATGAAACCAAGTAAATAATTTTTAAAAAAAAGTTAAAAAAAAAAAAAAGTAAATGGGACATTTATTTAAGGGATTATGAGGAAGTGATTGTTTTGGGAATATTTCTGGGAGAAATCAGACTTAAAAAGAGGATGTTGCCCAACAGACAGCAATGAAGGAATCTAAGCAAGGCACAGATGTGGGAAGGTGCAGGACTGAGAGTCAGAGGCAATTAAGAAAGCTGTGGAGAGAGATGCCTGTAAGCAAGGCAAGGATGTCTACAGAACAGATGGTAACTATTTTCATTACAATAGCTCCTGTCTTTAAAATCATGAATAAGATTCAGAAGTCATTATCACAGCTTGCTCATCAACCTTCAAAGCTGAAATATCTAGAACTTTTTTTGATAATTCAATAAAGCAGTTGAAGAAAGCTGCTAACCATCATGTCCAAGATTCCTCTTACCCCATCAAAGCCTTATTCAATCCTAGAATAAGAATGAAACGTAGTACCTTTGATTTCTACCCTGAGCCATAATAAAGCACCTTAATGTAAAAGATTATCAAATGTTTTCAATAATAAATGGTAACAAATATATAATATCTGTAAAAATATAGACTATATAGTCAGTTATCAAATACTTAGGAGCAACATTGGTACCAAGCAGTAAATGTTGCTTCACCTAAGTAAACATATGCTCACATATACAGCCTGCCAGCGGATGAATGGAATACATTCACATTTTGCAGTGGTGTTCCAGTGCCAAATATTAAGAAAGTGGATGAAGAGCAGCATTTTTCAAACTATATTTAATGAAAAGTAGAGCCAGTTTTTGAAAATATGTATTTTTCAAGGATCACATAAGGAGGCTTCAACCTACAGAAGAGCTTAAGTTCTGCTTGTATTATGTCTTTTTCACAAGAAAAAACAAAAAAAAAAAACCACAAAGGAAAGGGACTTCCAAAGTCATGCAAGGGCTGTGAGAACAGATTCCAGTACAGTGGACTTCTGGTCTTCTTCCTAGTTTGGTTACATCAAGGAACAATAACATCAGTAGCTTCAGGTCAGGAGTTAAGTATTTAAACCTAGAGGGAATTTATTTAGGTAACTATTAGGAAGCTGTTCTGCACTTTGAAACATGAAAACAGCACCACTCAGGAAGAATTGCAATATGGTGAAAGCTGAAATGGTTTATGCAGTCTGAAAACAGAATGACAGTCAAAATTCTGCCTGGAGAATATTTTCATATCCATCACATTACTCTGAACAGCTGTTACAATAAGAGCATTTGTGCTATCCCACCCCTCTTTTTTTGAAACGGGAGCAACATTCTGAGGAAACAGATGAGTGTCGGTACCTAATATATTGCTTCATTAGAATTAATTGCCATCTATAAACTAGCACTTCCCAATGTCAAGTCATTTCTGGTTTTCTTCTCAGCATTTTGATATTTCATTTTCAAGTGACAGTATTTTCTCATCAGAGACATAATAGGAAGAAAACAATATTAATGAAGCATGATGTATGTAAGACAAGTTTGATGGTGTTCTTACAGGGAAAACCCTGAAGCCAGTTTCGTAAACTTGACTTAATTAATGACATTGTAAAATCATTTAGCTTTT